GGATGGACTGGGAGATGGCTTTCTAAAGGTGGAAAAGAAGTTATGATAAAATCAATTCTGCTTGCTCTCCCGACGTATGTAATGTCTTGTTTCCTGCTTCCGTTAGAGATCTGCGAAAATCTAGCAAGTGCCATTGCACAATTTTGGTGGAGCTCAAATCCGGATTCACTGGTCAACATGGGAGAAATTATGCCTATCAAGAGATGAAGGAGGTATTGGCTTTAGGATGCTCCATGAGTTTAACCTGGCGCTACTGGCGAAACAATTATGGCGACTGGTGCAAAACCCGGACTCTTTAGTTGCTCGCGTCCTGAGAGGCCGGTATTATAGATTGAGTACGCCTTTGCGTCCGATCAGTACTAGTAGCCCCTCATATGTGTGGACAAGCATATCGGCTGGCAGAGAACTGCTACTATTAGGACTTAGAAAAAAAGTTCATGCGGGGTATGAGATTAAAGTTTGGGAGGATCCTTGGATCCCTACCATTCCTGCGAGACCGGCAACCCCTTTGGCACCGGTTATGCACCCAAATATGCGAGTGAGCGACTTGATTAACCAAACAACGAGGATGTGGGATGAAAAACGACTGCAGGATTACATTAATGCTGATGACATTCCACTAATCAAGAGCATGGCTGTTAGCTCCACACACCGACATGATACATATTGCTAGAGCTATACAAGGAATGGGCAGTACACCGTTAAATCTGGATACTGGGTGGCACGAAATATCTTGAGGAAGAAAGATGATACGGTAGTATGTGAGCCTAGTATCACAAAGCTCCAAGCACATGCGTGGAAGATTAGGGCTCCCCAAAAGATTCGCCATCTTATGTGGCAGGTGATTACAGGACATGTAGCTGTCACAAGTATCTTAAATCATAGACATATGAGATGTGACAACTACTGCCCTAGATGTGGGGAACCAGAGGAGACAATCGCACATGCAATATTCGAATGTCCACCGGCTTTACAAGTCTGGTCACTATCATCTACGCCGACCAATCCAGCTATTTTTCCAGTTCAAAGCACGTACGCGAATATGGATTATCTATTTTGGAGGAAGAATACAATAATGGAACCGGAATTGGATAGGGATCCTTATCCTTGGCTAATCTGGTACATTTGGAAGGCTAGGAATGACAAGTTATTCCGAGGTATTGATAGGGACCCAATGGAAGTGGCGCGATATGCAGAGAGTGAATGCCAAGCATGGTTTCAAGCTAATGAACAGGAAGTAATGTCACCTCTTGGGGATGGCATAGAAGAAGACCAGGCCTTAAGCTTGGGAAATATTTGTATGGTGGATGGCTCCTGGACTACAACAGATTCCTTTAGTGGGTGCGGGTGGGTCCTGAACGATAATTCTGGGAATAGGCAGTTACTGGGGTTGCGTAATTTCGATCGCGTGGAATCGGCATTGCATTCAGAGTTGGAAGCACTGCGGTGGGCAATGGAGAATATGCTTCAACATTCGCCATGTCAGAGCTTTGGAACTGATTGTAAGGAGATGATCGAAATGCTTAGGAATCCTCAAGCATGGCCTAGCTTCTCGACGGAGTTGGAGAAGTTAATGACGTTGAAGATCTGCTTTCCAGACTTCAAGATCACTTATGTCCCTAGACATCAGAATGACGCGTCTGATTCTTTAGCTAAGTTAGCTAGGTCCTTTTATCGTAAGCTTGTGTACGTTGGTTGTTCTGTTCCGGTCTGGTTACCCAGACCACCTCAAGTTGTTTGAGTAATAGATCAGCCGTTTGATGTCAAAAAAAAATATATATATATATATATATTTTTTGAAGAGGGTTCTACCTTTGGAATTCTACATACATATTTAATATTAGTATTTATTTATGAGGTTTTTCACTTTACAGAAAAACCAGTATTTTGGGTTGGTGGGTTTTTCGTAAAGTGAAAGAAACCACTATTAAATGCTAATATTAATATATATATATAACAGAATCTCTATTCTCTACATACTAAAAGAGAAACCTTACAACTTTTAAACCATGACACTTGTCATCACGAAAATCAATTTCAAAAATGTTTAGAAAAAATAAGTTGGTATGTGTAAATATATAATATATTTTTCATTAATCTAAGCATATAATTCATTATTGATTTAAAAACATTATTCATTATTTTTTAAATAAACATACGGAATTACTTAATTTGATCAAAATATGTATGCTAATTAATGATTTTAAATAATAAAGATTTAATAATAATTTATACAGCATTTATCATTTTTGTTTTATATCAAAATAAATTAGACAATTAAATTAACCAAATAATAAAAAATTTGATTTTTCTATTTTTTATATTTTGAATTATTAAAAAAAAAAAAAATTCTAAAAACTTCACTTTTTAAATTTGTTATCAATGGTTTTAATATAATATATAACTAGATACAAGTGTTCATAAAATTATATGAGTAAGATGTCTTTTTAATAAATATTCAATTAAATATATATATATATATATATATATATATTCTTTAAATTAAATTATACACATGCATAAATATTTCAGTTTCAAATTTTCATTTGATTTTTTTTAAAATGATTATAAATTAATAAAAATATTAAAAATTCCATATTAAAATTTTGTTATCAGTGTTTATAAAAATACAAATAATCATAAAACCATGTGACAAAGAAAATTTTTATTTAATAAATAGTCATATTAGAAAAATATACTATACATCGATGTTTCTATCATTTAAATTTAATTATAAACAATGTAAAAGATAAAAATTATTATTTGTGTTTATTTACCATAGATGATTATAAATAATAATGATTATTTTGATTTATATAACCACACAAATTTAGTTATATATATAATAGTTACTGACTTCTCACTAATTTAGTAGTAATACATAAAGTTGTATGTATATATAACATTCATACCATGCAAGATGCAGATCTTAATCTAGTAAATTAATAATGTTGTGTCTTTGAAATTTTATTAATTTATAAAGATATTAATTTAATTTTTGTATTTAGATTTATTATATTAAGATATATTTATTCTAATAAGAAAAATATTTTATTTTAAATTATAAATATTAATTTTTATTTTTTTAAATTTGACATTATATTAATTTATCTTATTATTTGGTGTATATAATTTATATCGGATAGAATTTAAATATGCTTTTAGATATAATATTACTAAATCTCATCAAAAATATATGAAGTGTTAAGAAAATATAAATATAATTTCATTGTGAATATAAAAAAACAATATAATGATAGGTTCTTCCTTATATAAAATATATATATATATATACATATAAATTATGAATTTATAATTTTAATGAGAATATATGTTTACATAGAATTTTCAAAAAAATATTATTTTATTATTTTATCGATTTATGTCAAATTTTGAACCGGCCCAAGTTGGGATCTGCAAAACTTATTAACCTACAGAGATTATTAATTTATCGAATATTAATTTATAGAGGTTCTATTGTATCTATGTTTATTGAGAACTCCAGAACAAAAATAACAAAAATCCCCCACCATTTTGGTGGTGCTCTTAGATTCTAGTCTGTTCATACACTATATTCCAGTAAATTAAGATATCAAATTGTCAACAAGACTAAAGTTCTTCTTCCTTAAATAGACTTGCAAGCATTTTCTCTAGTAAAATCTTAAGCAAAATTATTTGGCAACTAAATTATAGGCGCTGACTGGAGTTAATCCCTTTGCACACTTTCAAGTATTCCATTTAGTCAATATCCGGAAAATTAACAAATTAACTATCGTTTTCGACGACTTTCGCATATAGAAACTCTATTATGGTATTCAATATGTTGAATGTGTATCTAAGACTCTTTATAAGATTTCATCTAAACCTCTTTTACCCCAACCATTACATTTTAGCAAAAGCCTCTCAAAGCCGGGAAAAGATCTCATAGATTTCGCCATTTATTTTACTGTGTGCTACTACTGCATCATCTTAGATCTGAATTTTGCAACATAATTAATTTTTATATTTGTTTCCTTTTGGTTAGGATTTGGTATGATCATTGATTTGTGGTTCTGATTCTGCATATATATGTAACATACGCCGATGAAACAATTATTTTTGATTCCGTGCTAATCGATTTTGCTTCTTCATCAAATTCTTGATTTTGTGTAGGTGTATAATGTTTCTCCTTTCTCCGATCTAACTATAACTTATTTATTATTATGATATTATAATTTGCAAGGTGGTTTAGAAGAAAATCGCTGTGGTTTTAGAAGGATTAGTGCCTAAGGCACTAGGCGCCATCGCCTAGAACGCCTTTTTAGAACAATGGTTTAGATCATATTTCTAGGTTGTAGGGTTGTTTGTAGCCAAGTGGCAACTGGGCTCTGTCTTCGGGCCCTGACGTTAGGGGCTCGACCTCTCCTTACCTCAGTTTGAGGATTTCGGTCCAAGGTGACCAAATATTGACAAAAAAAAAAGATCATCTTTCTAGGTTCTTTGGATTTTTTTTTTAAGTTAATAGAAATTCTCATTTTAAGTTCTCATGCATAGATATGAGAGAAGACTTTGATGCATTTTCCCATCTGATAACCCATTTGCTTGGTTCTGATGGGTGTTTGGTGTTTGTTAGCTATCCTTTTGGTCTTTATTTGATAGATACAAAGGGTAGCTATGTTTATGTACAAGTAGTTAGCAGTTGTGTGCTGCTTACNAAGTTAATAGAAATTCTCATTTTAAGTTCTCATGCATAGATATGAGAGAAGACTTTGATGCATTTTCCCATCTGATAACCCATTTGCTTGGTTCTGATGGGTGTTTGGTGTTTGTTAGCTATCCTTTTGGTCTTTATTTGATAGATACAAAGGGTAGCTATGTTTATGTACAAGTAGTTAGCAGTTGTGTGCTGCTTACAGTCAGATAAATACACATACATGTTTCAAATATTTCTGTTTCTGAAACCTTTTTTTTTATGAGCTAATAGATGTATATGTCGATGCAGAGCCTTAGCAAACAAAAAAATGGTTGAGACGCGTGCTCAGCATCGAAGGCGAGTAACATGGGATGGGGTAGAATCTAATCAGGATGTCTTTCGTGACATCTTATCTCGACTCTCAGTAAGGTCTATCTGTTCAATGAAAAAGGTTAACAAATACTGGCATGTCTCAGTTAGTGGCAAATATTTTGCTACCAAACAGCTAGCTCAATCGAGAAAGAAGCCCTCATACATAGCTTGTCCTAGCGTAAACAAGGCTATGAAACTGTATTTGTTGAAGCCGGGGAAGTTCAGCTTTCGACACCACACTACTGTTGATCCTTCAGGAAGAATCGCTGATCAATGCATGCACATGATATCATCGTTCAATGGATTGGTATGCTGCATCAACCAAGTTTCTGATGAAGATGAAGACGATTATCAAAACAATCAGATATGGATCTGCAACCCTTCTACTGAAGAGACTCTGCTTCTTCCCCAAGGCAGACCATCATTTTTGGTAGAACCAAGTATTGGAGTTGCATATGGTCCTGATATTAGCGAGTACAAGATTTTCCGCATATTCTCTGTTGGAGAGAAAAATGATGGAGAAGAGGNTCTGATGAAGATGAAGACGATTATCAAAACAATCAGATATGGATCTGCAACCCTTCTACTGAAGAGACTCTGCTTCTTCCCCAAGGCAGACCATCATTTTTGGTAGAACCAAGTATTGGAGTTGCATATGGTCCTGATATTAGCGAGTACAAGATTTTCCGCATATTCTCTGTTGGAGAGAAAAATGATGGAGAAGAGGGATTGCTCTTAGAATGTGAGGTGTATTCTTCCAGCACTGGTGCGTGGAGGAGCATCGGCACTGTGCTTCATCTTCCAATGTATGTTTTTTTAAGTCCACACAGATCCGATCACGTCTTTGCAGGAGGGAAGATCTACTGGCTGGTTTCTTTGGAGGATCCTGGTATAATCCTCTCTGTCGACATGGACGAGAGGTTTGGAGTTATAGAGCTGCCTCATTATCCAACAGAACTGCGTGAAGAAGACAGGATAACAGTTGCTACACATTTGATAAACCTAGGAGGATCTCTGTCACTTGTAGTTCTACATGCGTATTCCTTTGACGTATGGGTGTGGAAAGAGGCTAGTTGGGTACTTGTAATAGAATATGATTTTCCGTTCGAGGGCGATGAACTTGTGTTATCCATAACCTCATCAGAGAATGAGATCCTGTTTGTGACTGAGTCGCACTTGTGGACTTATCATTTGGATACTAGGAAGTGGAATAAAAGGGGCAAGCCTCCTACTCGATTTAAGAATCCTGCTATGTTCCCCTTCACGGAGAGCCTTCTTCCATGTAAGCTCTCTGTCTATAAATACTATATATAAATGTATGTATGATAAAAAGTTGGTTTCTGATACAGTGTGTTATGTTGTTTCTTGAGGCAGGCAATGGCGGGGTGAGGCTAGAAGGAAGGTGAAGACTGAAGAAGAGTATTTGTCATCTCTGGCTTGTTGGTGGTTATGGATAACGTCTTTGCTTGGTTGGTGCTTGATTTATCTTGCAGAGGCTTATGTGTTTTCTCACTGGATACTCTGTTTTTATTTTTCTGTTCTAAAACTTTTCATTTGGTTTAAGGTTTCTGGTTTGCATCAGGTCTTTATCTTTCGTCATTGAACTTTATTCAGTTTGTTTCGGTCTGTGATCCTTTATCAACAGCAAAAAGCTTTGTTTTTAAATAAAAGTTCTCATCTATTTTATTATCTGTTTTATTAAATCATTAACATTATGTTGGATCTAACATTTATTTTGTAAGTTTTTAAATTAAATATATTTTTCTACTTTATAGTTAAACTTACATCAAATCATTAACATTCTTTTCTTTATACTAATACTAGGTGATTTTCCCGTGCTCATGCACAGGTATCAATTTTCATGAATATTCATGAAAGTAAAATTTTATAATAATTTATTGATATTTAGTGTGAGTTTTGAATCAATTTATATGTATAATTTATATTAATAAATAGTATATTATTCTAATTATACTTATGACTTTGTATATATTATTGTCGGTTTAATTATTTTTCGGATCGATAGTCGGTTTGGTTATCAATTTGGTATATTCGATAATATCTATTTTTCCAATTCAGCTATAATTTTTTTATTCTAAATATAATAAAACTTTGATTAATTTTTTATTTTCCTTTAGGTTGGTTATTTTCTTTAGATATGTAAACATATTCTTAGATATGTAAATATATTTAGTTAAATTATGTATAACTTAATATATGTTGTGCTTAAAATGAAATACATAATAAGCTGAAGTGTTTGATTCAAAATTACATATGAATATAATGATAATATTTTGAAGTCTCATGCATATATATAAATTCTAAAAGAATTAATTTGTAATTAATTAATATTTTATTTTTCTTTTTAATATGCTTTGAGTCAGTCTCTAATTTATATGTATAGAATTAAATAAATTATTATTTTTATTATTATTATTATTATTATTACAAAATTATATTTTCTTATTGTAGCTAGATGTTTAATTTTGGATATCTCTATAATATTATTTGAGAAGTCAGTTTCCTACATGTCGTGCTCACGTTAACTCTCACAATGGTTGATTACATAGATACCCTTAATGAATTGTTACATTTTTAAGATTATTATTATTTTTTATGTAATTTCTTTTTTTACCTTTTTCCAAATAACATATATAATAAAAAGGAAATATTTCTAAAATTTTAAAACAATTTTAAAAATGAAATTATATGTATATAATATGACTTTCTTAAAAAGGAAAGTTCACAAAATATTAATACCTCCATTAATATATATTTTTAAATAGCATAAAATATATTTTCAAAATAATAAAAATATATATGTTCATGAAAATCCAAAAATTTATCAGTTACACTTTATTTCTAATATTTTTTAGAAATATTAATACCTCCATTAATATATATTTTTAAATAGCATAAAATATATTTTCAAAATAATAAAAATATANTAAAAATATATATGTTCATGAAAATCCAAAAATTTATCAGTTACACTTTATTTCTAATATTTTTTAGAAATATTAATACCTCCATTAATATATATTTTTAAATAGCATAAAATATATTTTCAAAATAATAAAAATATATATGTTCATGAAAATCCAAAAATTTATCAGTTACACTTTATTTCTAATATTTTTTAGAAATCAACATATAATTTGATAAATATTATGAAAATATAATTTGATTTGACTTAACTAAAATAAAGAGTAAATAAATATTAAAAAATACATGTATATTTAAGCGCTACATAAAACTAATTTGATTTGAATTAACTAAAATAAAAAGTAACTATACTTCAATTTTAATTTAAAAATATATTTAACTCGATACGTAGGAAACTGACTTCTCAAATAATATTATAGAGATTATGTTTCCAATCAATATATTTATTTTTTATACTATTATTTATGTTTCTAAACAATATACTCATTTTTTTATATTACTATTCATGTTTCCAAACAATGCTATAATTAATCTTATGTCCAAACAATACAAAATATTAAATTTCACGCTTTTTAATAATTTCTCATAATTTTCTTTCAAATTATTTAGATAAATTAAAAAATTCAAATAATATATGAAACAACGAAAGTAAACTTATTTTTACATGTTTAAATATTAAATATCAGTAATCTATCAGTTCAATTGGTTAGTCTCGAGTTTTAGTGAATTTTTAAATACGGATATTTTCTGAAAATCAAAACTGAAATATCAGATCACCGGTTTAACCGCGGTTCGGATTGAATTAATACTGATTTAAATGAAAAATATTTGAAATAAAGAAATTCTTTCAAATTACACAAATATTTGTTAAGTTATTTATAAAATTTTCCATCATAAAATTCCACGATAGCAAAATTAAGTTAGAATTTGACCTAGCCTATAAGATAAAAGTTAAGGGCAAAAATTCTAGAAATTTATATATTATTTTTTTTAAAAAATGGATAATTATTAACATCAGAACTAACTAAACTCTCAACTTTTTTTTATCGCAAACAATTAAGTTTGAATTTGATTTTGCACTTCGAACAAACATACATAATTAGTGTTTTCACTGGACAGTTACATCTACATAATACAGTGCATTGGTCCAAACGCTGAACTCCCACCTTATGGCGATCAATGCTTGTTTAAAAATGTTTAGTCCTGATTAGAACTAGTAATACTTAAGCGATGGAAACAAACAATAGTAACTAGTCAAATCATATCACATTGTTTACAAGTTTATGTTGAAAAACTTAGTCAAATTTAGTAAAACAAAGGGAGAAAACATATTTTGAAAATACGAGTTTTACATATCTTTAAGTTACTTAACACTTTTAAAAATACAAGTTATTCAAAAACTAACGTAGATGAGTTCCACGAAAATCTTCTCGGATCAGTTAGAAACTTTAATTAACATGAATATTGGTAAATTTAGTAAAACAAAGGGAGAAAACATATTTTGAAAATACGAGTTTTACATATCTTTAAGTTACTTAACACTTTTAAAAATACAAGTTATTCAAAAACTAACGTAGATGAGTTCCACGAAAATCTTCTCGGATCAGTTAGAAACTTTAATATAACATGAATATTGGTAACCTCATAAATATCACCAATTAATTTATAAATTTTATTCAGTAATTCTAATATTGACTAATATACATGAAGTAAAAAAAATATTAAAAAGGTTTTTATAGGTCTAGAGAAAATGAAAATTTATTAAACATTGACGTAGACGACTTCAACGGAGGTCGTCTGGATGACTTCTAGGGAAGTCATCCATTTAGGTTAGTTTTGCAATTGATTTTAAACCTAGACGACTTTTATTTGACCGGAATGTGTCAGAAATTTTACTTTTCCTGGACAACTTACATTAATATCGTCTCATGTTAATTTTGCAATTGAAATATTAAACAATTTTTTTTCTAGACGATTTTCATGTATGTCGTCCGTCCGACGACTTACATGTAAGTCGTCTAAGATAAGTAAGGTTTAACCAAAATCTTGAAATAAAATCATGGACGACTTACATGTAAGTTGTCAAACAGACGACTTCCGTGTAAGTTGTATAGTAAAAAAAAAAAAAATTATATTTCAATTGCAAAACTAACATGAGTAAGTCGTCTAGAAAAAAAATTGTTTAAGTTGTCAAGGAAAAGTCAAATTTCTAACACATTCCTATCACATATAAAACTAACCCGTTTTCCCGAGACGACTTACGTGTAAGTTGTCTCGATACATGTAAGACGTCTAAAAAAATAAAAGTCAATTGCAACACTAACCTCTGCATTGACTAGACGACTTCCATGTAAGTCGTCTACAGCCAGACGACTTCCATGTAAGTCGTTTACAGCCAGACGACTCTCTGAAACTTACGCTGAGAGATTTACTGGATTTTTCTGTGTGAAAAAAGTTAGAATGAAAAAGAAGAAGAATCAGGTTTATTTTAAAGAGATAGAGGAGAGCCACTTCCCACAACAGTTGTTGCACGTGGACGGAAATCTCGCGGAGATTAAGGAAAGTGAGTTACGAAACTTTCTCCTTAAGATCCTCTCTCACGTTGAAAATAAATATCTTGGATAAACAGATAAATTGCGTGTTGTTTTTTAGAAAAACTATGCAGCGTTTTGAAATAAACATCATGCTGTTTTTATTCGAAAATGGGCCAAAAAATCAAAAGTAATTTGGTCTAAAAAGAATCTTATTGAACCGGAGGTCCTTTACCAAAACCGACGACCCACGCGCCAACGCCGAGTTGGCCAACGGACGGTGGTGACAGCGTGCGCATGGGGGCAAGCCGTTTCTCTTGTGCGCCATTTGAACTTGGATGGGTGTGTGAACATATATATGTTGCTCATTTTTGCCTCACCTAGGCAATGTGGGACTTTTCTCTTTTTTTACTTCATTTAACAATGAAGGCCAAGACCTATATGTATTCACTTAATTACCTTTTATTAATTAAACCATTAGACTTTATTTATTAGGCCCAACAAGTAGTTCATTGCAATACTTCTCATCTGTACCCACACATACAAGTACTGAAGGAAATCCGTGGTGGCTTCTCCACCCATAGCTTAAGCACAATGGACCATAAATTGAAGGTATGAACACCTTTATTCAAGATATCAAAATTGTCATATTCATGCTTGAAGATAAACTAAAATCTTTCTTTTTCTAACTTATCATAGAACTGCCACTTTCGAGGCATATCTTAGATGAGGTTGACATTTTTTAACATTGCGGGTATAGTAGGCAACCAACCAGACTAAGCTATTGCCTTGTCTTTAAACGATATTCTGGAAGATCGGAGAGGTTGAAGCGTTCGTCTCCTCCTCCTCCAAAGACAGACTAGTGAAGATATATAGAATAATCATTGCTGAAAAGAATTTTTAGTCGATTAAACACCTTCGAAAACAAA